TGTTTTTGGCACTAAGAATGCATATTCATACATTTAAAATAACTTGGGCACAATATTATTGATTTTCACAAGTAAAATAAAAACAAAATCGAAGTTGGGTCGGGAATTCTCATCGACTAAAATTCATCAATAGATGTACAGTATAACATTACTAAAGCTGGTGATGAGCTTCCTGAGCTTTACCTGTCCCGTAGTGTGAGGATCTCTGAGCGCTTCTTAAGGAGGAGCTGCTTGAAGGTGAACACGAGCTCCAGGTAGGAGGTGGGTGTCACAATGTCACATAGTACCTCCGCCGCAGCTGCTCATAGAACCTGTAGGAGCACTCATCAAGGTCTCATGTATGTCTGGTTAATTAAGGTATTGGAGGGCTACCAACGTCTCATGTACAGTATGTCTTATGGTTTTAATGAGGTCTTGGAAGCCCACCAGGTTCTCATGGGTTAATTAATGTCTTGAACCCCTGGGCTTCAAGTCAAGTCATATGGTGTGCATCTTTAGAGCTTCAGGTCACCTCATATGAAATTTTGACATTTAGTGGGCCTATTTGAATATAAAATGCACTAAACTAACTCAGAATAATGGGATAAACTCTCCTGTCTCATGTGGTGACATGCGAACTTCACATGCTACCACCCACAATGCCTTAGTACCAATCGCGTCTCAAGATGCAGAGGTCACGTCGATCACACTTGCCCAATCCCAGCACCTCCATTCCCAGCTCCCAAGCATGCCAGATAAGTGGTCCTATGCCTGTGCAGTACTATTATTTTCTACATGATCATCATTGGCCAGTCAGAAGTTAAAACACAAACAATCAAACATGGATGTTTTATTGAAGAGAGTTTTCTGACTGTGGTAAACTGTATTTACATAATTAAAAACAAATTTCTAGTATAAAAAGACAGACATCAGTCTATAGATTGCTCAGGTTTGCCTACTTGAGAAACAACTGGATAAATGCTAAAATGAAATCCACACGAAGCAGTCTTTGACCCTTGGTAGTTAAACTGAAAATGATAACATAAGCAAGGTTTGGATGTCCTTGAAACTACCTGTGGGCAAGGTCATCAATGCTGTGGTGGAAATACTTGCAGACAGTGACACAGTGAGCCAACAATGATGCCTCCAGTTTAGTTTCCTGCAGCAGTGATGTGGCCACCATCTCCAAGGCATCATCAGGCCATGCAGTAAACCTGAACAAGAAAAGGTCATAATCTTGTGACTCTACAGAATTATACTGGCATTTGCCATTTAACAGAACTGCATTCTACAGAGTTTTGAAGTTATGGAACTCAAAAACAGAGGATATTAGTCACTAACGATCTACTGTCTTCCTAATAGAAAACGAGCTGTGGTTGCCATACTGACCAGAACGTATAAAAAATTGTCCCAAACACAATATCTGAGAGAGAAACAAAATAAAAGTCACTCGATTTCCTCACCGTGCTAAGATGTATAAATACCCTATATAAAATCCTCGTGGCACTTAGTATTTCAGCTATTACAACAAAAATTTTAGCGGTGCTTTCATTGTGCGTATTTACACCCGATTCGCCAGGCAAGACGACGACGGTAGCAATGCGTGTGATGGAGGGTGTGGGAGGGGGTTTTGAGAATTGCAATTAAATGCCAGGTAGCGACGTGTCCTCGAAACACATCGACCCCATGGTTAACAATACCTTTTTTTTGGAGGACTGTACATTTCATTCTGCAACCTGGCATTTGTTTGTGTTTTTTGTGTATGTTTTTTGTATATGTGTTTCCATTGTTTTCCTAAGCTTGGCCAGAGGACATTAAGTGCTAGAGGCAGCAGTGGCATTAAGAGAAACAGGAAGGCAATTAATCTGATGTGAAATTACATGACAAGCATTATGTTTCTTGCTGGTAACTGTACTACAGTATTATTTCTATTTATGATTTTATTTGAGAAGTAGGTATTTATTATACTATTTTAGTGCATATTTACTTGATACATATAGTAGTACTGTATTATATTTTGGGGGGTAAAAATTTTCCCTTTAAGAAGGCAAAATTTTCTTTGGAAACACATTGCCAATTATTATTACAGTATTGTTATTAATGAAATTATTATCATTATTATTATTAGCATTATTATGACAGTATTACTGTACATTATCATTATAATTCTTACTAATCTTATTGTTACTGTATTACTATTATTATAAAGCCCTGCATAAAAAGGATTAGCACTATAGATAATATCAATGAGCTCTCACATAGCACTGAAAGTAAAAACCTGTAAATTTTTTTTTATTAACTTTCTAAAATCCTATAAGAAGAAACCATTATTGTACCACAACAATATTATACACTACACTACCACAACATTACACACTACGCTACCAGGGACACCTGACAATACACAAGTGAGGGACACCTGGCAACACGACATCTTCTAACACATGAAGCAGTAGACCCACCAGGACCTACCAGTCTATAGTGCAGCAGTTAATGAGGGAGGGGAACATCCTGAGCCTGGTCCTGAAGGTGTCACCTATGGGGGACATGGCCACTACCAAGTGCAGGTTGGCCTTCACTCGCTCGTTGAAGTAGCCAAACAGTGTCATAGGTGAGGAGTCCATCTTCTTACCCTTATTGGGATATTAATCTGAGGTTACAATATGTATTATATTGGTTGAGGAGTGTGGTCCACATTATAAATATAAGATGACCCAATGAAACAATTATCAGATGAAAGTAGGATACTATTTCTTGTTGGGATATAAAAATTTTGTATCAATTGAAGATAACTGAAGATTAGTCTTCCCAGCATATTTTACTACAGTAGGTTAGGTTAAGTTAGTGTTAGTGTTTAAACATCAGATGAAATAAGCTGAGATGCTTAATCTTCCTGTGGTCCCAAAATTTTCAATGTTTAGCTGGACCTAACTCTAATAAACAAGATAAATACTGTATAGTGAAAATACTGTACAGTACCGTACATTTATAAACTTTATCTGAATTTCTAAGTTATGTACGTAGCGCTCAAGAACAATAAAGTGATTTATCTACATGAATGAGTAAATAGTGCATAACACTTATTCAAAAAGTATACATATCCTAAATATAATACAACACAGCAACATGTACAGTATATGGTCAACAAGTGCATTACAGGAAACAAGTAATAACACAACTAAATTACTATTATGAGCAGCCCACCATGGTATCAATTCCAGTTCTGTATTCCCAAAGCTTATATGGGAACATCCACCTCTACGTATATTTGTGATCTTACTTCACGAGTTTAGTGATAAGGCTCTAGCACTCAAGTTGACGCGCACATGTTCCCTGACTCCATTAGTGAAGGAGCCATAATAACAGAATCTTGATCTTCCAAACCCAGCCAGGGCAAGGATTCTCAAAGCTTTAGGCTTTGTACATTAAATTGTTTCTCATAAATGGAGATAAAGCAAGGTTTCAAATAAGCAGACATAAGAAAGAGCATACAAATAATGTTCAAAATGGGTTCCAAATTATACTGAGCGTCTACCTACACTGGTACTTTATTTTATCACCAATTAGAGGTCAAAGTTAACATGAATTCTGACCCAGTATTGTCAACATATTGTAGTAAATGTTAACATGAATTCTGACCCAGTATTGTCAACATATTGTAGTAAATGTTAACATGAATTCTGACCCAGTATTGTCAACATATTGTAGTAAATGTTAACATGAATTCTGACCCAGTATTGTCAACATATTGTAGTAAATGTTAACATGAATTCTGACCCAGTATTGTCAACATATTGTAGTAAATGTTAACATGAATTCTGACCCAGTATTGTCAACATATTGTAGTAAATGTTAACATGAATTCTGACCCAGTATTGTCAACATATTGTAGTAAATGTTAACATGATTGTTCTATAAACTATAAACAGTGGATGGTATGATCGAAGACTGAAAATAAGTTGTTTACAGAAAAAATAAACTTTGAAGCTTCAGTGAGTAATGAGGTGCTGTTGTCTAGATGAGCATGTGTGGCAAGGGAGGCCCCCAGCCCTCGTGGGGGGACTGGCTGCTCTCTGCCATGATAACCTACAACTATGCATAAGCCATTATTGAACAAGTTCTTAAACATTAAGACATTGAACAATCTACAACTATGATCAAATAATCAGGAAAATTATTCATCCTCGCCTTAACCTTCAAGTAAGAGGTTGGTTATGTTGTGGCAACTTCCTATTAATGGGTCACATTTCATAGTTTCACCATTGATACAAGTTAACAACAAATTAAGGCTTTTGTGCTTCTTTCCATGACTTATACTCACTATTGTTCTTGATACTTGAACGTGAGACTACAGCATATCAAGTGTAAAAATATTGAGCGACCATTAACGAATAAGTCCGAACTAAACTACTGGGTCAACAGTCTGATGGTCCAGGGTGGCGCCTAGTACACAGCGACACTGCTGTAAAGCTGAAAAGTGTAAGTAATGTGGGCAGATAATAAACCTTCATATGTGCCTAAGATAACACCAAAAAATTTTGAAATTGAACAATATGGTGCTGACAGGGTGATAAATTCCAGGACTCTTGTCTTGGGCATGAGTATGGACATGTATCACCTGTGTGGTGTGTGAGGAGCGTTCACTTTGCTGTCTGATGCAGCTGAGGTGACCCTCATGAGCACTGCTGATGCAAGTCTGCCATTACTTGCACCGACATTTACTGTGGTGGTGCAGCACTGTTGTGTACCTTTATCCCACTACTATGGCATTTTAGTAATTTTGGTAAGAAAGGTGTATTGCTGCCATGCTGCAACACACAAATGTCTTCATCTGGATAAGTTGGCTATTAATTGTTTGTTGGAATTATTTCATCAGTTTTAGCCCGTAAGAGGGATGTTACTGAGACAATGGCAAGACCTATGGCAGATCAACACCAGGTCACCACAACATGCTCGCAACACTTCTCACAGTAAGGCACACCCAGGACTTTACTACTCCCTGTATTGAAGGGTTTATTGCCAACTCTTTTGTGTTGGTCAACAACAGTAATGGTTTGGCTTTCTCCAGACAATTTACAACATGCATGAAATTCACATTCTTACCACGTCAAGCCCCTGGAAAACAACATGGACTTGTTAGTCGTGTTTCCTGAAAGTCATTATCAAGGGTTCCAAATTATTTTGAGTAAGTAAAGAAGACATTTATAGTGAGTTTATGCATCTAAAAATCAATTTCATGCTAATTCCGAATCCCTTAACTTAAACGTGTAAAAATTTTTAGGTGGACCGGGGAAATACATATCTCCTCACCACCTACGTATTTAAAGTAAATTCAGTTAGCATGTCACTAATTTTAAGACCAATTGTAACGTCATGAACACCTTCCTTATTCACACTTCAACACAAAAGGTTCTAAAATCAGTATTGTGTCAGTCTGAACCCCTGATATGACTCCTGAAGGTGCTGTGAATTGGCCATGACTAACACAGGACCAAAACACTATAGTTCTCTTTTGTCCTCACTACCAGGTCTTAGGTCATATATCTCAGGTGTCAGGCAGGCTTTATTACATACCATCTCACAAAATGATTTCTTTGCTACAACCACTACAGTGTATTTATTTGATAATCAGTTTTTGTAAAAAAAAAGAAGAAAGAATGCACATTACTCCTGAAATAATATCATACAAAAATCAAGTTGACTATAAAAGTACCTACACAAACTAAGAATATTTACTTCCATAGTATTACTATAAAAAATAAAGTCTATTAATTCCAAATGATTCCATGCAAAAATTGTCTCCACTATTTCCAAAGTTTAAGTTAACAATTGGATAGCCAAAAATTTATTATCAGCTATTTAGGTCTACTGGACACTGTACAAGTGTACATCCTACCTCTGGGTGGAGGAAGGGTGCTGGGGAAGGGCTAAGTTGGAGCAAAAAGTTCTTTCAGTCAGTCAGTCGATGTCACTCAGGAAAAGGGTTCATTGATTTGCTAAATACAGTTATGCACAGATTTAACAGATCACCTGAAGATTGCCTCCCCCAACTTGTTCTACTTGAAGATTAACCATTCTAATACAATACACGACAAACCTAACACTAACCAAACCTAACTGACCACCCTAATGCAAACCTAACCTAACCTAACCCTCCCCCCCCCCTTCTGATGGGGTTATTACTGATAATCTTTAGGTGAAATAAGCCTGGGGCAGGTGAATTTTCAGGAGATCCAATTTATCCTAATATTTGTTGGCAAAGTAAGTAAGTACAGGACAGGCATCCCCTGCCTTATAGAAACTCACGTTATGGAAATTCGCGCTTACGGAATTTGGTAATTACTGTATGACCAAAAATTCGGGATATGGCTAAAAAACTTCACCCTTACGGAATTTGGGTAAAAAAAAAAAAAGCAAGCCAAGTTCAGCAGAAAAATATTTGACATTATTAGAGCTCAAGTCATAAGAAAGATAAGGGATGACTAAAATTTATATACAGTTAACCCTCACTTTACGCGGTCCCGCATTCCGCGTTTCCACGTTAACGCGGTGCCTTGCCAGAACCTCACGTGCTCAAATTACGCGGTACGTGAACCCCATTACGCGGAGTGTGTCCGGCGCGACGCTATTTTTAGATTCGCCCCACCCGCCTGCCTGTGCTCCTTGCCTCCTCCCTCCGCTTGGGCAAGCGGCGCGGTAAGGTTGCTCAGTGTGTGTCTTTGTTGCGTTATCACTGACGTCATATGACGTATCAGACCTGTGATTGGCCATGCATCCCTACCCCCCTCTGCTGCTAGCTGTAATTGGCTTAAAGTATTATGACGTGTCCACCCGGGGGAGGGAGGGAGGGAGGGAAAGACGACGCTTGACCTAGCCGCGGCAGTTTCATCCCTCAAGGCCACTCCGTGTAAACGCGCATCCATTGTTCCGTAAAATGGCTTCCGCCAGACCACCACCCCCAGAGAGAAACCTTTCCTTATCTGGACCCAGCGGCACTAAGCCAAAGAAGACACGACGTTCCTTAAGCTACGAGGTGAAGTATACCATCATCCAAGAGTTGGAGAAAGGAACAAGGCAGGTTGATTTGGCGCGCCAGCATGGTGTGAACGAATCTACGATCCGGACTATAAAGAAGGATGCAGCCAAGATAAAGGAGCACATGAAGATCACAAAGTCTACAGGTGCTTCTATGATCAAGTATTTTCACAACCAGGTGCTTCTCAAGACAGAAAAATTACTTGTGAGGTACTTGGTGCGTCAGGCGCGACGGAACATGGCGGTCGACACGCGCTCTGTTAAGGACTACGCACGTGAACTGTACATGGCAGTGGCACGAAAGATGGGAATTACAGAGCCCAAACCCTTTAATGCTTCCTCTGGGTGGTTACAGAGGTTTAAGATCCGGAACAAGATCACCAATATAAACATTGGTGGTGAAGAAGCGAGTGCTGATCGTGCTGCGGCTCGTTTTTACGTGAGATTATGGAGGAAGGACAGTACAGTGACGACCAGGTGTTTAACATGGACGAATCTGGTCTTTTCTGGAAAAAGCTACCTTCCAAGTCCTTCGTTGTAAAGAATGCCAGCAGGATTCGGGGCCGGAAAATGCAGAAGGAACGCATCACCGTCCTGTTTACCACCAATGCCTCCGGTACCTGTAAGCTCAAGTTATCGGTGATCCACACAGCACGCAAGCCGCACGCCTACAAAACCATGGACATGACCAAGCTAAATGTCCACTGGCTGACCGCACGTAAGGCGTGGATGTTCTCTACACTGTCCCTCTCCTGGTTTGATGACTGTTTTGTTCCCGATGTAAAAAAATTCTGTGAGCGACAGAATGTGCCATTCAATATTTTGTTGCTGCTGGACAACGCACCAGGACACTCGCCCCTACTGTTAGATCGTCACCCCAACGTAAAAGTGGTCTTCCTTCCTCCCAACACTACGTCATTAATCCAGCCCATGGACCAGGAGTTAATCTGCAATGTAAAAGCTGCATTCTCAACAAAAAAATTCCAGCTCCTGAACGATTACACCAACACCAGGGAAGAGTTGCGTAACCTGAGTGACACCACCACCGATAGCAAGAGCGAAGAAGATGAGGATCAACAGTTGGAACAGCAAAAAATACTGTTCAAACAATTCTGGAGAGTATTTAACATCAAGAAAGCTGTGGACTTCTTGGTGGAGTCATGGGATCAGCTGTCTATTGCTACAATTCGTCACGCATGGAGACATGTGTTGCATGGAATACCAGGTGAGAGGAGGAGTCAATCTGTGACTGGTGAGGTTCAGAATGTTGCAGTAGCAGTGGACCTTGCCAGAGAAGCTGCGCAGACTGTTACAGTTCCAGGCTTCTCCGAGACCACCAACGACGACATCCTGGAGATGATCAGAGATCCTGAAGTGACTGCCGACGAGATGTTGGAAGAAGAACACGTCAGTGAAGAGGAGGAAGAAGGTGCGTCATTCTCCGAAGAACACAGTTTAAGTCATCGTGATATTAAGGGTGCCATGGAGTGTGCAGAGAAAATGAAGTCCTTCCTTTCCCGCGACAATGACGATGACCGCTATGAAGTCTTCCATACCCGGCTGGTGCAGGCTATGGAGCCGTACATCAAGGTGTATCACGACAACATCAACGCCAGCCGTCAGCAAAGCATAACAGATTTCTTCGCCCGCAACCCACCACAGCCAGCCCAAGCCAGTGATAGTGGCAGTGAAGATGACTTTGAGGGATTTATCAGGGAAGCCCTGACAACTGTAAGTGACAGTGATGGTGATTCACCTAGTAATGGTGATTCACCTGAGGGCCAGTAATCTGCCCTCTGCCTCGGAACCATCCTCCATCCCCGTATGCCGACCCATCTCTTCTACTAACGTAAGTGTTCCACCTAATTTTTAGTTTTCTAACCTAACCTTTATTTTTCCTATGTTAACCTTTATTTTTCCTAACCTAACCTCTTCTATATTACTTGTTTTTTCATACCATCATAAAGTTAAGATAAAATTTTTACTACAACATAGTTATGTGTCGTCAAAAAGTGGAGTTTGGGGATCGGCCTGGACTCCATTTCAATTAATCCCATATGTTATGTTATTCACTTTACGCGTTTCTCGCTTTCCGCGGTACCCTCCGGGTTACATTAACCGCGTAAAGTGAGGGTTAACTGTATTATGAATGGAATGGTCAGGTATAGTATTACTAAAGTACAGGTAAATTAAAGTTACTTATTATTAAGGGTTTAATATCATGCGAGATTGGTTTTTATTAAAGGATGAAGATCTTGTAATACTTTGATGAGTAAATGTTTTACATGAAAAGAATACAGTAATTGTATATTAACAAATTATGCATAAATATACTAAAAATTAGAAATATATAGTACATTATAAAGTAAATATTATAACTAAGTGAACCAAAAAACCATCACCTCATAACTGTTTAATGATTATTTTATCAACAAAATCCTAATTAAGCAGTTGCAGTTTGCTCTTAGCTAATGGTAACAACAACCCTTGTAAGTGATAGTCAATGTAAGGCATAAATTATTTTTTCTTCTTATTTCTCATATTATTATTAACCAACTGTTACTGTAAAACATAAAAAAATGTACAGTATATGAATGATCTTAAGCATTACTACGGTACACTAAGTTAAATATCAAATGTTCAAAATTATAAAGATCTGCAGTACTCACCTCATCTTTGGCAACTGCTTGTATCTTTTCTAATATTTCTGCCTTTTCCTCATTGGTGTATAAATTAGTGTTTGAAGGCAAAAACAACACTTTCACAAAGTCAAATTGATACTCCAAATTGCTGGCAAGGTCAGGGTCATGACCAGGAGCATTATCCATGAGGAGAAGAGCCTTTAAAGGGAGTTTATTGGTGGTTAGGTAGCTCTTGACAGAGGGGCAAAACACATCAACAGCCCATTCATTAAAGAACTGTCTTGTCACCCATGCCTTACGGTTGGACTTCCAATAAACTCCAAGCATTGTTCTTACCACTTTCTGTTGCTTGAACACCCTGGGGTTTTCAGAGTGGTAGACAAGCATAGGCTTCAGTCGGAAATCCCCTGAAGCATTGGCACCAAGCAGTAGAGTGAGACGGTCTTTCATGGGTTTATGCCCAGGTAAAGAGGCTTCAGGATCTCAAATAAAGATTAACTTGTTCAACTCAACAAAAACAGACACCAAGAGGAGGGAAGGATGGCAGGAGACGAGTGTTGACACCAGGTATACTACGAGCCTAAAACCATTTCCCTCGTAATTCTTTTCCACTGCTGTGTGCTCTCGTCCTATTTCCCAAATCCAAAAAAAATTCCCAGAGAGATTAATAATACGAATTAATCCATACTGGTTAAATTTGACATGTTGCAGAAATAAGACAAATTCAGGAGTGTTGAAATATTGGTAGGAATTTCTCTAATTATAATTATAGTTTTTGTTCTCTAAACAAGAGCGTGGGCTAATATTGAGAAGTTTATGAAAAATGCAAAAGTATCTCAGCTACTGATGTATGCTCGTTTCGTGTCAGGCAACAGAGTAAAAGAGGAAATGCTGTTCTGTCACCCCATGGAAAGTTGTACAATAACAGCAGTTATTTTTCATGATGTATCAAACTTCTTTCGGGATGTCCTGAACGTGGCTATCAGGGTAGTCAACTTTATCAAAGCTGGAGCCTTAAACAGTCGTCTCTTCAAACTGCTGTGTAAGGATATGGAATCTGAACATGAAACCTTGTTTTTTCACACGAACGAACGATGGCTATCACAGGGGAACATGCTTGGACGGCTTTATGAACTGCGAGAAGAAGTAGCAATATTTCTTGATTCGAAGCAGAAGGCAGATCTCCATGACAAGTTCCAGTGTGAAGGCTTTCAGCTATCTCTAGCTTACCTGGTGGACATCTTCGAAGCGTTGAATGCTCTCAACCTTAAACTATAAGGGAAAAACATCAACATCATCATGCACCACGACACCATTCAAACCTTCATGGCCAAACTCGACCTCTGGAAGTGTCGAATTCAGCAGGGAAATACAGCCAGTTTTAGTAACTTGGATTCTGCTCTCATTCACGCTAACCTTTATTCTGAGTTAAATAAACAAATAATCACTCATCTAACTGACTTGAAAACAGAATTCATCAGATACTTCCCAGAGATAGATGAGAAGCGTGAAGCCTGGAAATTCATCAGGAACCCATTTCAATGTGAAGTAGCTGATGTTTCGGATGAAGTGCAAGAGGAGTTTCTTGAGTTGAAGTTCAACTCCACAGCTAAGGAAGACTTCAAAGAACTGGATCTTGAGACGTTCTGGGTCAAGTACCTTCCTGTTTACCCTCTGATCTCACATCAGGCTCTTCGGATTCTAACTATGCTCGGATCCACGTATGTTTGTGAAGCTGCATATTCCACGCTCGTTGCTGTCAAGACCAAGTACAGAAACAGGCTGAATGTTGAAGGGGATTTACGTTGTGCACTCTCTGGCATTCAACCACGCAGTCAAGATCTAGTAACTAAGAAGCAGTGTCAAGTATCTCACTAATTTATCCTCAATAAAAAGACTAAAAACACAATATTTTTCATTTTTCTTTAAAATCTGGGAAGGAATTTTATTCATAGATGCAAGGGGGGCGTGGAGGTAAGGACCAATTCCTAGAGAGGGCGTGGTAGTAAAAAGGTTAAGAGTCAGATTCTAGTGGTTTATACCGCCACCTTCACAATCATCATCCTGGCGACGTTTTCCTACGATTCTCGAATTCTGTTGAGTGTTGTTCTACAGTACACAGCACCAAGCAGCGTGAAATTACACTTTTGTAAAAAAAAAAAAAAAACACCAACCCAACACACCATCCACGACAAGTGCCCTACGTCCTCTCAGAGACGGTGAGGTCAAGGGTGAGTCCAGGGGGTGTAACACAGACCTCTGTGTCCTAAGAACACGAAACCGCTGGAACAGCCTTGAACTCACCGCCTCCGAGACAACAGAGGATACCAGTAGTGTCTGACCACCAGGTGGTGACATTGTAATAAAAATTGGACCTTGTATATATATTACATATTCCGTACACATGTTTATCAGCGGCCCTTGTGGAGGTATAACATTTCCTGAGTGTTTCTTGGATTATCTTACAGGTATTTTGCTCCACGTGTGTGTACTGGCAGTGGAGGAGTAAACCATTACAAGGTCTGGATTATATACGTGAGGCTGAACTTAGAGCGGAGGAGATGTTCCCGATACAACCAACCAACAGTCAGTAGTTCATGTGATAGAGAATAAATAATACAAGACGTATTTACCACCCGTCTAGAGACAATTGGCTTCACGTTGCATGTTTCTCAAATGAGACTCAGAAAAATAATTTATTAATTTCATTAAAAATAATAGTATTTATTTAGTTAAGAGATACAGTAGGCAGAGTAAATGTTGACTGTCATAAAGGTGGAAACATATATATAAATTAACTCCAGTAGTAAGTGCTAGTTGGAGGATTAAGTGCCTCCTTCCTCCCTTAACTTGTTCCTCCTCCGCCCTCACCTGATTTGAGGAGCAGGATTCTCACAGGGTGGTACTGAATATTAGGTGTTGTTCCTAACACTATCACTTGGAGGATTACCTTAACCGATAGGTCAACAACTGCAAATATGTTGCCTGTATAACAAGTGAACTAACTTGGGTTGAGCACTGTGGCGTGTGTAGGTGTCCGCAAGGCAAGGCCTATACCCTTGTGGTCACGCTGGGCCATGTGGTGAGGGCTTGTGTAAACAACCCCCCCCCCCCTCATAGTGTCCCAGGCTGGATAGTTCTTTTGAAACTAAATTGACTTTGATACTGTATCTAACCAGAAAAACAGAGATACTATTAAGAACAAGTGTAGTGTAATAAAAGTGTTTATAAACTGAGAATACTCCTGCTACCTTGGTCCCTCTGACACCACCCGCTCATGGCCTCCCCTCACACCGCTGATACGCTGTAGATGCCAGTTTCCCTTGTCCTGTAAGAGGGTTACGCCTCCCAACCGCCGCTGGCTTCCTTGGAGTGCCAAGCAGTCCTCGGCCCTCTGACGTAGGCATATAGGTCGAGTCCTGTAACTCCTCCATGTCTGAGTTGACTGGAGACCCAGCCACTCGCTTTAACTCTCCTGATGCACTGAGGGAGCCAGGTGACTATGGTGTTGACCTTGACACCAACGGAGAGGATGGCTTTCAACTAGTTCAGTCCAGGAACAAGCGGAAGGCCGAAAAGGCAGAAAAACTTAGAGACCATCAACTACAACCTCAACCCCCCATGAGAGTAAGATTAAACTTCCCTGAAGGTACACCACCTGAAGACAAGTATCTCTGGCTGAACGATGCGGAAGACAAACACCCAGACGCTGAGTTTCAGTTCAGAGTCGGTACACAAGATCATGTTCTGATTAGAAGCGACCCAGCAGTCATACAGAATCTCCTCACCAATAGCATAAGGGGAATAACCATGGAACAATCATCCCAACCATCGAGCAAGAAAACCATCTTAATTATAGGGCTCGACCAGTACCAGACCCCTACACTAGTAGAAGCTCATCCCTACATCAGAAGGACGAAGCGACTCAGGGGCAAGAACGAGGTTATTGTAGACTGGGGTGGCTCGGAAGACCCACCCAAGACCATTCGAGTCCGTGGTGCCTATCGGACTCTGAAGGTAACTCTCTATCAGCCCCCTACCCGTAGGTGTTGCAATTGTCAACACCGGGGCCATGTGGCCCGGTTATGCCCCTCGACTAAGCCGTGGTGTGGTCTCTGCTCAACACAACATGCAACACAGGCTTGCAGAGATACAGTTGCTCAAGGGGGTGTCGTTCAACACAAGTGTATTAACTGCAAAACATATGGAGTTCCTGTATGGCACCATGACTGTCCTAGAGCTCCTACGCCCCTTCAGCGCCCAGACCCGCCACCCAGGCAGGTCTCAAGAAACAGTAATGCTGCTAGGGTACTCCCTACGGCCAACCCCTGGCCCACCCACCCACCAAAGCTCCAGGATCATCACCAGCAGTCATCGAAAGATCAGTATGGGACAACACAGACGTACCGATACAACAGGTAGCTGCCAACACACCCCGTGAAGAGATCAATGATTTGAAAAATGAAATTAAAGAACTCAAAGCTCCATTCACAGCTCAAACTGATATGTTAAAGAGCCTCTGTGATACACTACAGAAAAAGAACACCACCAACACAGTGCAGCAGCTATGGAAAGATTACAGTCAAACTGAAGACATTCAGATGTCAGTACCAGATGTGGAAACTCAAGACCCACCAGGAACTATTGTCTACGCAGAGGAAAATAGTGATACTGGTAACAGTTCTATTGATGCCTCTGTGGACATGGTCAGTGAAGATGAACAAACACAAAGAGAAAATGGTGGTGATGTCGTGTGTAACCAAAGTGTTTTGTTGTCTGCCACTGACTTACAACAATTGTTGAGCCGCACATGCTCCAGAAATGTTTCAAAAAGGTTAAATGGCCTACTGCCTGCCGAAGGGACAGGCAGCATAGAAAAGCACAGTATCATACAGTGCCTTTTGCTTCTTTCCAAATACATTTCATAATGGCCAGTGTTAATACCAGACAAAGATACAGAGCGGTGAAGGTGATGAGTTGGAACATCTCATCCCTTAGAAAACGATACCCTGACCTACACCACAAAGTTGTGACTGAGGACATCGATATTGTGTGTCTGCAGGAGTGTCTCACACCTAATGGTAAGCCCCCACTCAGTCTGCCCAATTATGTGTATTATGATCCTAGTTCTACTCACACATGTTTGATGTATGTTAAGAAGTCACTCCCGCATGTACCTCTTCTATCCAAAAAGACTACCAACCTTCAGTACCATGGGATCACTATCCACCTAGGCAACTCCACACTCAACGTGCTAAACGCCTATGCTCCCTCAGATCAGCTTCAGTACACAGATCTCCCAGACTTTTTACACACTGAGCCCACTGTTCTAATGGGTGACCTGAATACTAGACACAAGAAATTAGGTGACTCCTCCACTAACACCAATGGTAGCAAACTTATCTCACTTCTAAGCGCATATGAAGATGTTCAAATTATAGGTAATAATGAACCAACACACATCTATGGCGGGGGTCTAGACTAGTGTATTGGTTTTAATCTATCATACACAACTCATAGCTCTGATGTTGTCACTGATCTTATGTCTGACCACAGCCCAATCCAAGCTAGTATACATGTAGCCAATGACACCCCCACTGGTGGTGAACTCAACAGACGTAGAATCACAGTCAAGCAAGAACATGAAAGTCAGTTCATAGACTTCATCCATGACTGGTACAAGGACTACTAACCTAACAACTACCAAAGTTTCCATGACGATCTGATAGATAGGACTTATA